TTTTTTTTTTTCTCATTACGTAGCTTCATGCTCTATTCAATTCAATTGATTTGACTCTATATAACTCCAGGGTTCGCGGGCTATTGCTACTTGATTTCCTATTTGGAATGACATATGATGATTGATACATTCGATGATTGATACATTCGTAAACATAATTGTTTTAGACAAGACTAAGAGCATGTTTGTATACAAGAAGTCTCAAAAAAAAAAAAATTCAATATTTTAACTCATTCACTTTTTTTTAACTCAACTTTAACTCAACCCCACTATCATCAATATTATCAATATAATTAAATAATTTCAAGCAATCATCAATATTATCAATATAATTAAATAATATCAATCATTCATACACAACACATCAACCCTAATTCACTATTTATCTATTCACAATATTTTAACTAACCATCACATCAAATTTTTAATTGTTTTATTTTAAATATTATTTTAATATACCCACTAACAATTAATCATACTACTTTTTTCAAAACTAACCAAATCAAACCAAACCAAAAAATCTAACAAAATTAAAAATTTTCATATCCAAACATGCTCTAAGGCTTTGTTTGTTTATAAAAAAACTAAAAAAATATCTATCTCAATTCAAAATTTAAGTTAAATTTTAACGCAACTCTACTATCTTCAATATTATCAGTATAATTAAGTAACATTATTCAATCATTCTTACACATCGCATCAACTTTAATTTATATTTAATTACTCACATAATTTTAACTACTTATTATTTTTATTCATTCTCAATTATTTATTTCTTACTTTTACATTAACACAATTTTAATCATTTTATTTAAATAATATTTTAATACATTCTTAAAATTTTGCTAACAACTAATCATACTAACTTTTTCAATTGGAATAATGTAATTTCTCTAGTTCGGTTGGCTAAGGCATCTTTGTTGGTGGCTTTACGAGGTTTACAAACCTCACTTTTAATTTAATATTCCGGCAAAACAGCTTTCTTTCAATCGTATTAATCAGTATCCTCAAAAGTTGATTAAAGAAATAATTTTGTCTATTTTCTTATATTGGGACATGACAATTCAATCTCAGTTGTTAGATCTTGTAGCCTTTGCATGATTAATGGTCAAGATTCACCCGACCCGATAGGAGATGACACAACCCAAAACTAGCAGGTGCAAAACTTTTTTTGAATTGCTAAATACCGCACCCATTTTACTAATACCGCATTTTACTAATACCGCACCCTAAAATGATAATTTTGCCCTTTATTCTTATTTTTTTTTAAAAAAAAAATGTCCCACCTTCTAACCTCTTTATCGGTCGAACCGAGCACCGAAAAATTCCGAAAATACCTCCAAATAATTCCGGCGAAAAAATGCTATCCAACAAGACCGGTCATGCGGCGGTCGACCGGTCAAACCGGCCCTAAACCGGTCAAACCGGCCGCACTGGAACAAAAAATTTAAATTTTTTTTTTTTTTTTTTTTGAAACCGGCCGGTCGCTGATTGCGGCTGCAACACGACCGGCCGAAGGCTGATTGCGGCCGCAACTCGGCCAGCCGCACGCGGCCGGTAATAGCGGCCGCAACTCGCGCGACCGAGCCCATTTTTATTTAAAAAAAAATAAATTAAATATTTAAAAAAATATATAATTTTTTACTACTATTAATTATTAGAGAAACTGATTAATAGTTATTAAGGCAAGTTGGTACAACATATATAGCTATTCATTGCCTTACATTGAACTTTCTCATTCAATGTGGGATAATTGCAAATCAAAGTTTTCACTCTCCCAACCTTTTATAGCCACTCTTGGCCTTTATTATTGTGTTTGTAATCGATGTGGGATTGTCTCAAACCTTTATAA